TAGCCTCCATTTTATTAATACTGCTCATAACTTTGGTCGCCCATTTTCTAACAGCATTTAATAGATGTAATTCAAACATTGACTTCCCCAAACTTTCGTTTTAAAGTGATATGTAATAGCGCGATGCCCTCGATCTGGGATCAGTCGATCGTTCGGAGTTTAACTAGTCAGATGTATTTTATAAAAAAAAATTTATGAACTCCGATGCGGACCTCCTATATGGGTTCCATACACTGCATTACCGAAGAAATATAATACCACTACAGCTGATCTTTACCAGCTCACTATTTCGGCTGTTACTAACTACTCCAAATGTGAGAAAAACTTTATCTTGTCCTTTACCCTTCGCTATTTTGCGCCTTTGAACATGCTCATTCAACAGAACCAGAAGACAGAACTATAAGGCATTGAGCTTGGGCACTGAGCATGCGGTTGTGCGTGGGTCATGCTGGTAAGCTGATTAGGGCGGAACCATCGTCTCGTTATACCCCGCCCTCGCAGAACCTTCGTCTCGGCTGGCTCAGCGTCCAGGCGGAAGAGAGGCTCATGGCAAGGGCATGCCGAGCCGAGCCAAGTAAATCAAGTGAGTAGCGCACGGAAATTAAGGCTCGCATCTCAGGACTCGGCTCGCTCGCTCAGCTTCTTCAACAATTGCTACTGAACTCTGCTGGGAATTCCGTTCAACTTGCAGGTGGGAGGGCAACATGACGACGAACTTTGTAAAGAGCAACGGGAAAGCGGTGGGTTACGAGCCTGAGCGGAGGAAACGAACGAGAAGAGCATGAAGAACAAAATAACACGCAATCATCAGTCACTCCGCAGCAATTATATTAGGACTGAGGCGGCTGCAGCCAGCTAGGCAGCCGGCCCATCCGGCGCCCCTTCCTCCTTAGTTTCTGCGTCCGGCCCATGGCCGAGGGCGAATGTTCATGATTGGATACCAAGAACTCAAAACTCTCGGAACTATCGATCTAGGAAGGGAGTTGAGCGGTTTTCGAACTTTGTTGGAAACCCATTTGAAACGGTAAAGGAAATGGTCAGATTACTGTGGCCCACAGGAATTGGCACCAACCTCATTTCCCTCTGTGTAATAAAAACACACCAGTTTGGCAGAATCAGTTAATTACATTAATTTTACAGACTAAATTGAATTTTTGGAAAAATCTGACCGAACCTTGCTTTTGCAGAGAAGGGAGATTGAAGAATTTCATTTCTGCCCAAATCAAGCAACCTAGGAATTCGAAAGGGGTCGAAATAGCGCTATGAACAACCACCTGAGTCACACCTTCTTGAGCCAAAGACAGGTGGGCGTGCCTGTCAGGATAATAAAAGCCTTAATCGAATAAATAAAATGTGTAAACAGAAATTGAGCGAACAGGACTTGATCGATCACCAATCGATCCGGCATTCGCATGAAATTGCCATGCACCAAACAGAATCAATAGAAGCAAGAGAAAAAAGGAGGAGAAAAACAGAAATGCGAAACAAAGACGAGAACTGTCCAATGGACAGGCGAAAAAATCGATAATTATNATAATTATGTCGATAACGAAAAAAGGAAAATACTCACGGAGCATGAACTATGCAGTTGCGGAGATATTGTACCTTCGGCACATGACTGGAGCGTGGCGATCCACGATAACATATCAGCTTCACTGAAAAAATACTCTGAAGAGTGGATAAAACGTTCAAGAACTCCATTAGTTTAAGCCACGCCTTCCTTAACTTCTAGCCATCAAATGCCCATTGAAGGGTTTTCGTAGTCTAAACGGGCTCCATCAATGAAAATGGGCACTTGTTACGGGGGAAAGAGGAGGAAGCTACGTCTTATCACATATTTAACTGCTCTTTCTTACCGGAGAAGCCTCCTTGGGTGTTTGACAGAGGCGTTATCTAATTACTACTATACTAATATACTATTATGATTCTAACATTATATGGTAACTTTAGCCGAAGGTGATGTACTGCAAGGCGGCGCACTATCAACCGCCCAGTTCAACCTAGTCATCTACCCCTTAGGAGTCGGTCAAATGGATCCACAGACTCTTATGGGAGGAAAGAATGCACTAAATTGTACATCGGCTGGCCATCGCAAGTCATTGTATAGACCACATAGGCATTCCACCGCCACTATAGTGCTGAATGGAAGTCGTACGCGGGGCGCATCCCAAAAACAGGACAAGTGAAGCAAAAAACTTCGTATTCTCGGTAATTTCAGTCGTATTTCGACTTACCTGTGAAGGAGTTACCTGGGCTTCAACCGATCACTACAGAACACGTTTTCGGTGAGGGACAGAAAAGAAGCGCGTTACAACTGATCCGCCAACTGATCCGTCTTTCACATTACTAACAACGGACGCCTCTATTTTGTTTACTTGTTACTACTTCCACCAACCATGTGTTTTACGACCAGTACAACCAGTCAAATCAATCCTGATGCGACTAATTTCGGATGATTTTCGGAGCAAAAAATCACAATATGGACAACTGTCGCAGACACGCCTCATTTCTTCTTTCAAATGATCCGAACTATTACCAGAAACCCATGACGTCCCCAAAACAACGACTTCTGTCAAGAGCTATCTATCCCAAAAACACCCAAAAAGGTATTGAAGCCATTTGTTCCAGTGCTACCTATTTGTGCTACTCGCGAGCTATTTACCATAAACAAATGACGTCATGGTGGTTTTCCAAACTAAGTGGGTACCTACAGTTAATTCTCTGACACGGTATCCCAATGCTGTCATCAGGCTGGCTAGGCTCTATTTGCCGTTGACTAAATTTTCTTTTAGCAGAAAATCAATAAAAATTCTGCACCGCCAGGTTCGCCACCTTACTTCGCTGCTTAAAAAACGTGAAGCTCGGAGAGGAAAAGGCAATGGTTCGCTACGACGGGACTGGCTTTTCAACTTCAATGAGTTAATTTTTCAGAATTTATATATAGCTAACATGGAACAAAGAGAGAGAGTTTTGTGAGGAGCCTGAAGCGAGGAACAACCATCAAACGGAGCAACCACAAGGCAAAAGTATAAAGTCGGGATAATAGCCGAGGGCGGAGTCAACCTTAGTTTAGGCGGAGTTCCTCACGGAATCAACTCGTAGTTGACGGGGTTACTGATTCACATTTTCCACCAAATCTAAAAACATAAGCAGGTCGGATGGGGAAAAAGCTTCATAAGGTCCGGAGGAACAAATTTTCGAAAATTTTGACCCATCTGATTTGTTTCCCAATATTCGAATTTTCAGGTTTTTCCTGAAATTCCCAGAAGATGATTCACAATTATCACTGATCTTTACATAAATGGGATTACATCCGTGGAAAAATCGTGAGAGGTAATGACGATGGACTCGAGGGAAACACCCAAGCTGACGATTCTGGCAGTCAACATTGTAATGTTGATAGGTAAACATATTTTTATTGAATTAGAAGATTCAGCTCAAAAATTCATCGCTCAGGATATTATCCATACTTCCAAAGAGGGCAACTCACGATGCATGCATTCCACTTTTGTTCAAAATGGTAAGGGCACTCGAATACTTAAGCCCGTGTGCTAGAAGAAGGGTTATGAAGAACGGCATGATGTTTATGTTAGCCTTAACACCTCATCAAGGAAGCTTTCACAAGGAAATAAAGAAGAGACGAGCTTCACAGGAGACCTTAAAAGCGCAACAACTACAAAAGAACATTTATAAGCCAAAAGTCCAAGAGCGCATTTTTGAAGAGAGGGCGGAGTCAACTTCTGTGTGGGCGGAGTTTCCCACAGAACTCTTGTTTTATATGATAACTTAATTGATGCACCTTTTCTATCAAAACAGGAATTAACCCCCGGAACAATGGGGCAGCGCTTGCGCTACAGCCGCGAACTGCCATAAAAATATATGGTGTATGGGAGTTCAGTGAAAATGAAGGAACAGAGTTAAGGCACCTTTGCTGTCGTTCAAGACCAACGAACACTCCCAGCCGCCTACACCTACAATTGACGCTGTAATTATGGCTCGCCACTAATGAAAGGGAAGTGGGAAACAGCGTTGGAGGTTTACTATAGGTAATTAGTTCGGAAATTCACAACAGGTGGCCTTCAGGTGACGCATCACTGAACTGGTCTTGAGTGGTTGGCGGATGCAACGAGAACTACGGTATAAATAGTATTTTCACGGTATTGAGGTCGCAAGGGAAGATTGAAGGACGGCATTGGTGAAGGCGGCGTTGGAGGACGGGGGTGGGCAGGGGCTTAAGAGGTATTAAACTGGCTCTATCTGCAGAACAGAGAAACTGGACGGCAATTATGTGATTCTTAAGAGTCCATGTGCACGTTTCGAAGATCATTTTCCATGGGCAGCTGTCACCTTGATGTGGACAACTGTCACTTACTTTGTGAAAACTGAGAACAAAAAATTGTACTTCACAAAACAGTCAATCAATACTCTCTCCCTAGAGGGATCAGAACAAAAATGGCAGCAAAATTGAACGAATTTTTTAGTCAGGGTTTGGGCCCGATTATTTGGACCAGAATTAATTCAAGGCAAACGAGGTCCAGACTACCACAATAGAACCTGGCCCCATAATCAGCTAGCGAAAAGACTGAAAACGCTATCAAATTGTTGATTTCGATAACCATCCAAGAAAAACAACTACCACCAGCTTAAATGGTGGTTTACATTGGTCCTCTCTCGTGCAGGTCTCCTTGTTTACTGCAGCAAAAGCAAACAAGGTTTAAGCTTAGTTTAGAGAACGAGTATCCTCCTGAACCTTCTTTTGGTGCTCATCAACCCCATTCTATCATACAAGTCAGCGCTTTTATCCTCCTAGACTGTTACCAAATGACTGACCTTGGAGGTTTGATGGCTTGTTTGGCATAGGCGCATATCCATCTGGAATTCGAACCCGTGGTCATACGCGTGTAACAAGCCCCACTTATCAGTACGCCTACCACTATTTATGTCCATGAAAATCCCTACATGTTGATTTTTTGTTGTAATAGAGGGAAGTGGCCTCTGAACTAAGGTTGCCCGGTACAGAGACTATTATCAGCCCATGAACATCTCAAATCTCCTATCTTCCTCGCCTCTTCGATCAAGCTTTCAATGAAATGGCTCGAAATCATTCTACGAATAAATAAACAAGTGAGTAAATAAATAAGTCATACCTATCCAATTCGAACAGGTGCTCGGCTCGGGTTTGGGTGACCAATCGGATGACGTGCTTTGTTCGGCTCATCGCCAGCCACTCGTATGCAATGTCAATGATCGAGGAGTGCACATCGACACGAGCACATGGTGGAAGATGAATGAGCTAAATAGCATAGGTAGGTGAATCTCGTATGGAACGCTGTTACGATACTTTCTATGGATATTGATGCGCTTGAAGGTTGAGTTATTTATAAGTTCGCAAAAACATAAATTACAAATATTATAAAACTTGCAAATGAATTTGAAGATTTCAATAAGAAAATCCATTGAATGCCAGCAGTTAAACGAAATCAAGCCTCATATTGTTATCGCAAAGGAATTCTAATGATGGCGAAATTCAAGAAGCGGCTCGGTAGCCCAAGGGACTGGATTGCTTAATTTTCATCAGTCGACCAGTTAGGCCTACTTTTTCGGTAGGCAACCTACATCTTGTCGGTGGGCAGCTTCTCAGAATTTCTTTGAAAAAGACTTTCTTTCCAATGGTGTTGTTCCAACATCCTTACAAAGAGATCTCTTCCAAACTTCGAAAGGCACTGAAAAGGCTCCACACCTCACCGTCCCACCCTCCACTGCATTTTCAAGAAAAAGGGCTTCCTGGGATCATTACCAAGAAATCTCATACATCTGCTCGCCGTAAGCGAGCTTGACGAAAAGATTGAAGAGTGACAGACACCTCTACATTGAGTGAGAAAAACGCGTTAGAAGAACGTCATGTTGCCAGTGATGAGATAAGGACTTCATAGGAAATGGCAGTCAGAAAACCGATGGTACTTAGGCATTGGATGTAGGAAACTGGATGAAGGGGAGCAGAAGTCATCATGCAAAGGGCTGCTATCGTGCCGAAAGCTGTGAATATTTGATCAGGATACCATTTTTGCATGAATTCGAGATTCAATATATTCACAAACAAGTTCGACCACAGAACGGGAAGACAACGAGGTACTTGAGAAGCTCGGCATCTTCTAGGTGCTCCATTCTCTGTAATCATCTGATCATGGGCATCAAGAAAACCAGGTTTTCTGAAGCTTTGGGACTTTTACCACGGACACAATGTTCAACAGTTGCCAAAAAATCGATCGTGCGTTCGTCTAATTCGCATCACATTCAGTCCCNTTGAATGGAACAAGTCACAATAATTTTGGACTAGCTAGTTTCTGACGAATAGTGTAAGTGACGTCCAGAATATTGCAAAGGCGCAACGATAACGAAATCACCGGCATATTTGAAGAAATTAAGGCTTTGAAAAAGAAGAATAATCGAGGACTGGACGAGAATGTCACGACAAAAGTTGCATGGAAGGGGTATTTGGACGATTTGTCTGAATGTCCATGCCACTGCGTATAGTTGGCTACAGTAAGTTGCTTGCGTGCAACGTATGTGTCCCGGAGTGAGTGGTGCATTCTCTACAGCCTCCGCAACGTCATGAAAACTCGTCCGCCTTTGGGTGTGCACGTCAGCTAAGCAGATTTTTGAGGCCCTTAACACGCCCTACCTAGGCTGTTTCTCAACCCGACAGAATCCCTTGTGCTGTCCTTGGGAGACACAGGTCCATTTCAAAGAGAAATTTCAAAAAATATTCCGGCGTATACTGTGCCTTTAAAAATGTTGTGGTCGAATAGATTCCTTCATAAATTTCTGGCACTCCGAAAAATAAGGTAATAATATGTAGTAATAATAATAAGCAGAATAAAAAATAGTGATTACAATAACGACAACAACAATATTGATATGAAAATACAATAAATTGTCACATCAAAAAAATTATATTGAGAAAAAAGGACAAAAAATGTCTTCAGCGTTCCTTGAACCAGAACAAAATTGAAATCACCGGAGAAAAAAATTATTCCGAAAATCTATGGTTTCTTTATAGTACTGATTTTAATCACAAATATTCAGCTCAGCCATTAGCTGGATTTATAATCTGCGACAAATTTTCGAACATGGGTTCGAGAAATGCGATTGCATGGAATAAGCTATCCGAATTTTTCATAAAAACAACGAAGTCAAACGAACCTTCTCGCCAGTCTTCTCCGCCACAGTCGACCGTGGCTCCTGAGGGCACAGATAGAGGCTCTGATCAATCAGTACCGCCCAGCATTCTTCCCACAAACGTCGCTTACCGATCTTTCCCAGTTCCAGCTCCTGATAATAATTGCAAAGTCAGTCATGAGGCCATCGTTAAATGAGCCATAGCTCCTACAGAGGTGATGGAATTCGGCAACGAGTTAAGGGACCTTACCCAAACGGGCTCACTTAACCCTCAACCAAAATTCGTCCACAAAAGAAAAGTGCAAACCTGGTGCCGTAGCCATCCCTGTCGTACAATTTTACTTGCACGGAGCGTTGTTTCCGGCAAGGGGTTTCTTGAGAGAGGCAATGATGTGCGCGAACGTTTCGTCCGTAATTTCACCGGTGAATTCTATAAATCGGACAATTGAATTCATTTAGAAACAAATTCAATGCGGTATTGATTGTGATATGGTTTGGCGGACAACCTACAGGGTAGATCTTGACACGGTAAATATATTACAGTACAGCAGTAAGAAATTTGCATGGATCAATGTTTTGACCAGTTCATGTTGGGTCCAAACCGTACTAACAGTAATCTTCGGACGTGATTGAACCGATTGGATAAACTCCCCATATAGTCACAACCTCTCAAGAAAGTCACACCCTTTTGAGGATTCCACTCCCTCGAGCTGACTTACTGTTTATGTAAGTGAGCCCAAAAACGCAACGAATGCTTAGTCCTTCGAACTATCTTACAGTGGAACCTGCCCCCGACGTGAAAGTAAGTTCGCATCAACTGATAGTCTTACAATGATAAAGTCGCCTAAGAATTTTGTAGAGATCCTAGTTTCAGGATGTTTTTGTAGAAGTTCGTACTAGAAAATGAGCCATATTCCAGCTCGTATCCGCATACTTCTTGAAATGTTTTCTGTATTCAGAAAACATAGGAAAATAAATTTTCTTCCGGCTCTCGAAAATCCGATGCATTATTCTTCAACAACTTTTCCGCCTTTCACTTTACGAAGAGGTGACTCGGAAATGTTGTGAACTGTTCCTTTGAATAAGAATCCATAGATAGTCTCTACTCAAAAATTGAACAATCGCATTCATGCAGGCAATCAAAAGAATGGATAACTAATCGATTGACGAAATAGCCATTCTATCGCTTCGTTGTTTTTTTATTACTAAGTAAATTAACTTAATCAGTGGTTTTATTACTTTTAGACCACCTCTTAGATCAAGCCACCTTCCCTTCGAAAATGAGGAGAAAAATTGTTTGTTCCCGAGAAAGAGCTAGTTTCGAGGTGCGAAAAAATAATTTTGACGCATTTAATTTTTTATTTTTAAGACCTATAGAATTGCCATAAATAAGAACTCTGAAAAAGTTCTTGGGCGACTTCATCATTATAAGACGAAGTCTATAAAAATGATCCACGAAATAGATTAATTTTGTAGAGAGAGCCATAAAAGCATAGCAAGAATTTAATCATACCGTATCGTGGAAATTCCCCATTTGGCCATAAAATTTCACGGATAATCAATAAATCAATAACAAAACAACTACCTGATGACTGAATAGTGCAATGAATTTCTGAATTCGATGATGTCCCTGAGGTTGATTGTGTGATTGGGCAGATCGAGACGAACGATCGATCGATGACAATGATCCAAGTGATGACAGCTCTCTGAAACGATGAAACTTGAGCGAAGGTAATCGATTTATCGATTGGCAGTACACTTACCTGCTATCATCACGACTAAATGACATCGGATGCTCGGTCTCTGGTAGACTGGTCGACGTGGCCAGCACGTACGATTTTGGACGTGCACGTCTCATTCTCGTTAATGCGGAGACTGAAAAAAGGATAGCTATTAATAAAAACATGGACGACGTCACCAATTGCCACGAAAGTCGATAATTTCAAATTTTAATAAATTTTTGAAAAATTGGTCGGAAATTCTGCGCAGCGACTACTTCTGTACTTCGATACCCACAAAAAGAGGCAGGATGTCTATTTTGGTCAGAACTCCTGACGCCTCTCAAAAGAGTAGCCGCACCCTCTTCAGGAGCCGCCATTGACCGCAATATTTTGAGGGTCAAGCACGGCCCTCAAAAAAGATTGAAAGAACCAAGCGAACACCTCAAAAGGAGGGAAAGGGCTGACCTGCAAAGCAGCAAAAAATCGATCGTCGATCGATACTGAATAGCCAATAATCGAGTGATCTAACTCGGTTGTGGTTAGATGACCGCATTGACACTAGTGTTATAGGGAATTTTGGCTGTCACCAAATATGCATAATCCGATTATTCCGGACTATCCGTATAATTTGCTTCGAGTATCACCCTATCGACGAATTCATATGAACTTCATGGAACGGGTATGCGCCATGCATTCCTACGGTACCCAGTGGAGTACAAGTGATTGCTTGTGTTCTGATTCAAAGAATGGTTCCAATGATGGAGTCAAAGGACTATTCTGAAGATGGCTCGAAGTTTCCATTCGGAGAATGAGAACTTTGGTTCCCAAAGGGTTGAAACAGCTCCCAAACAACCCTACGAGTCCTTGAAAGGTCTACATAACGAGTACAAGGTTATCTAATTGCTTCATGGGCAACAACCACTCAACCAAGGTTAGGTATACAATACATGTAGTGCACACTTCAAATGAATAGAACCTTCCTATTAAGGCCCATACATGGTAGAGAACAGAGTAGCAGAATGCCAAAGATTGGCCGACAAACAGAGGATATCAAAACACAGAAGAAAAAAAGAAAAGAAAAAGGAGAAAAAAGGAAGAACAAGCGACACCCTCCTACATAGAATCAGAAAATATGATTTTTTCAGGTGTAACTGATAAATAGGGACAATTTTGAGAAAAGTAAGGGCACTGGCGAGGAATATTCAGTAGTAATGACTCAACAGACGGTCTTCTAGAAATTTTATGAGCTATTTTTTATCAGCTCATCTGATTGTGAGTCATCATGGTGCCAGTAGCGACGTTCTCATAACGTCGGAGACGTCTGTATGAGTCAAATCGTCTGACAGCTGATAATTAGTGATAACAGGCAATGATAACGGACAATCGATCAACCAGACAGATGCGTAATGTTCTGACAGCTCTACTATCCTTTTTGTTTACGCGTCACGTATCACCTACGGGGCGGCTCAGGCGGCTCCCTAATGGCTTTTCAGAATGGCCATTTGGGTAACCATGCATCAGTAACGGCTCCACACCTCATTACAGGCGTTGATGATTACCATTCATAATTACCAGTTTGATTACCAGAAAGTCTAATTAGAATTTATCGATTCGTACGGTGGAATAACATGTAATTCAGTAGATCACTACACCAAAGGTAGTTTCTTCTGGAGTGAAAAAAAATATACAGCTTTTCAATAAACACAGGTCAGAATAATCAATAATTGGAATCGATAGACAATCAACAAAATGACATGAATAATCTCAATCATTTGGTAACCTCGGACAGCTCAACGGCCTGAATCTTACCCTATCAAAGCCCCCTATATCTGAAGAAATAGGTATCACGGGTACCTTCCCGTATCACACCACTGTCCACCGACTGGGCAGGTAATGCTCCCAGACAGGTGCAAACAGTGGCAGCGAAATACTACTTATCAACAAGGAAGGCCTTGGGAAAATATAAGTGAAAAAAGAGTGCAACTCCTTGCATGGTGCAAAAAAATCACTTCATCCAAAACAGAGGGTGAACAGATAATTCTGTTCGAAGTCTGCTCTCCTTTATTTTCCCTTTTCTTCTCTTCTAGTTATTTAGGTTTTTATTGCTTAACTCTTGCTTTTACTGGATTGGTCTATGGTGAATATAGCACTTGATGAGCGTAATAAATGAAATAAAATAAATCGTTTTAGGGTGACAAATGAAGTTGGTGATGGTGGGAGATTCACAAGCGCAATCAAAAAAGAAAAATCATAGACTTCAGATTAGCCCATTAGTCTGGAGAATATGTGAAGGGATGAGAGTGGGGAGGAGAAAGGAGGAGGGAAATAGAACCTTACTGGTTGGGGCACATTATAGAAGGTGTGCAGTCAATTCTTTGCTGCCTGAATACTTTACTGGTGGCGATCCTTACACTAAGTTTTTTATTTATTTATTTATACTCGCCACTGAGTGCGCCACAACTAGAGATTGCCTCGATACACACCTGAATTTTATCTAACACATAGTATCTCTGCTTCATGCAAACTAGGTCGGTACCTAGAGTACCCAAAACGCCCTCCCAAACGGAACGTACCCTCCCAGCTGATCCAATGGGTTTCTCACAGTTGCACCAGTTACTGACTCATCCAGCTTTTATTGCATGTCACTACGATGACCTTTTTTGAATCTTTTTTGGACCATGCACTCGACCTCCAGGCATAAATTACATGATTACTACAAATAAGGGTAGGTAGAACCTAGAATTTAGCAGTGACTGATCATGACTTAGTTCTAACCCCATAGCTGGCCCTCCGTTTTTGGGGTGTAACATTCCAGAATACCGTAATCTCCCTCAAAATGTGATGACCCTATGAATCACATTTCCAGAAACAATAATAAACGATGACAGCAGCCCTTGCGGTTCTCCTTTGGTGGGAACGACCGTCGTATGCTGTCGAAGGCACAGAAAAATCGACCCATAAAAGGAACAGGTTCTGCGGAATTCGACTTTTGCACCTCTTTGGAGTTAAACAGTCTTTCTGACTGAATGGAAATTGTAGTCATCAAAAAAAGCTCAGTATCTTTCGAACCAAAATCTGGGCATATTCATCAACTATATGTTTTTCAGGTTCAAAGGAATAAGTCGCTTTTAAAAATTGATGAAAATTATTCAAAAATAGCAACATATGTTTGAAAAACAGTAGTAGGTGCAATTTATTTCACAAGCGCCTTCCGATGCTACCGTATCAGCGAGATNGTTTTTTAACTCAACCTAACCCTAACAGTTTGTGAAACATTTTGAAGATATTACATTTTAAAGTCTAGGTAAATATCTTATATNTATATGTTTTTCAGGTTCAAAGGAATAAGTCGCTTTTAAAAATTGATGAAAATTATTCAAAAATAGCAACATATGTTTGAAAAACAGTAGTAGGTGCAATTTATTTCACAAGCGCCTTCCGATGCTACCGTATCAGCGAGATCGTCATAGGACCGCCAGCAGAAATGTGCCGTAGAAACAGAAGAGAAGCTAAAACTTCACTCATTCCACCTAATCCACCTGCAGAAGCCATTTAATGAGTGGTTTCTGGTCAACATGCACAGAAGATAATGAGGGACGTGGGAATTGACATCAAACTAAAGTAATAAAGCTAAGTATGGGAGCGCAAAACAAGCTCCTAAACAAACACCCCTGCATGGCACATATACGATTGTCGAGAAGAGATCTCCGTAGCCGAATGATGACTATAGTGAGCTTGCAAGCACGGTTTTTCTGAAGTAAGAAAGAGCTAAGCGACTCTCGAAGTGTTATGAGGAACAGGAGCTATGCTTATGCGCATTCACTCGCAGTTCTCATTACAGAGGGGTGATGAAGGCATGGCGCAACCCTGAAGGACCTGCAATCTTCAAAGAATCTGTCATCTGCACCTCATCTGATTATTTCTGATCGCAAGCACATAAAAGGCTTTATCAAGGATGAAACATTACTACCGCAGAACCCCCTGGAAAGCCTCAAAACCGAAAATCAACGGCGTCACAGCAACGAAGACATGGGAATGTTTCCGTAATGGACTGTGGGCGAGGAACGTCTGGTAGTCGTTATAACTAAAACAACCACACCCCCTTTTATGTCTGCTGGAGGCCAGACTCCTTAACAATCGACACGACCTGTTTTCGGGATCAGAGAACGAACCCGTCCTGTTCAACTCACCTTAACTCACCAGCACAAGAGCCAGGCCGGGAGCACAAAGAGTTCTGGTCCTTCTCCCAGACCGTTCAAGTTCAACACTTAGGAACTGAAGGTTACTTATCGCTGACAGTAACCTTATCGGCGGTCCCAAAAAAGTGGCACCGAAAACAAAAAAAAAAGAACGGGCTCTGAAATTTGGCTGGCGTCGAGGTTTCATAGTGAGGTCACTAACGAGCACGTAGGTGCACTTTCATCACAAAGAGGATCGTGTGAAGAAATTCAACACCTTCACAAAGTCCGCCCCGTGTACACTACGCTGGTAGAGTATTCGACGAGATAGGCAGTGAAATGGATGAGTCAATGAGGGCAGATAGAATATCGGTTAGTCGTTCATATGGATTAGTCTACTGTTTCAACGAACGAAGAGCAAACATGGGCGAAAGAAGAGACGTATGTTTTTGCCGAGCCGAAGAGGATGAAGGGTCATTTTTTCTCCCCAGATCATTTCCGTTTTGGGAGAACGTCAACGTATTTAATTCCCATTGATAGCCGTTGGGGTTAGACATGTAATTGAACCTAAAGGGTTATCAGTGGGACTAGCTAGCCGGAATACAACCAGCGCTAGCTTCCTGACGAGGCTGATCACGAAGGGAAGGCCCAATTAGCCGCAGCATGTCCCAATTCAGGCCTGACCCTCAGACGTCAAGTGGGGTAGCGGCATCAAGTGGTCCTCCACTACTTCCTGTTTTTTTTTTCTCGATCGCCAAGAGGAATCACTACTCCAGAATCCCTTATTCTAGAATCTCATTCGAAGTCCTCAGTCCTCCTTATTTCGGGTTGATTCTATTATTAAACATCAAATCGTACACCATTCAGAACGATATTCAGTGTAGGACATAGCGGTATATTCTGTTCCAGAATGGTGATAGCTTGGGTTGATTTTCAGTGTTCTTGAGTGGAGACCTGAG